TTTGCACACACCAAACCGGCAGTAATGCCAGCAGCAACAGACCCCTGCACATTTCCCAGTTCCTATCAAAGCGCAGGCAGAATAGTCACAATATATAGGAATGACAGTTTTGCAGGCCACCCCTTCCAACCCATGTGAGTTGAGGCAAAAGTTTGATATCCATAGATGTGCAATGGGAACCTGGAAAGCAACCATCAGGCATTCACCATTTCAATGTCTGCCAACAGCAAAATCTTCCGTTTATTAATCCACATCCACACCATACATCAATCCCTATCATCCACATTGAACTGTGATGAAACTAGAGAGGGAATAAGATGTCAAAGTTCTTTAAGATCTCTTGTGCTGTAAGATGAGCCCCAATCCCAATATCTTTATGCAACAATCCCATGAACCAAAAGGGCACAGCACTGATTTAAATGATGATTTAGAAGTGAGTGTAAAGAAGCATATGGAAGATAATAATCCTAACTATAACACGATACAATCTGATTGGCAAAGGTTACACCTGGAGTAAGACTTAAGTTCACTGAACATGGACTTGTTGGCCCATCTTCTCAAAGAATTCAGAAGAAATATTTGGGGAAAAGGTGTAGTGCTTGCTGTGCTTTCCGAAGGTCAGAGCTATTTCTCTCTCTCAAGATTTAATCTTCCTGTTCAACTCCACCAGCATAAGTTCTGTTTCTATCAATAGTACTTGCCATGGTGAGGAACTTTGAGGATCAAATCTTCAATCTTTCTGGCTCCATTCTAGTGCTGCTGTGCCTGCTGCCATTCTTATTTGCGTTGTAAACAAGGTTTTAATTGAAAATATATTTGTCAATACATTTCACACTGTATTATTTTGCACACACCTAGCCATTGTTTTAGTTAAAACTCATAATTTATCCAACGAAAATGAACACTAGCACGAGAATTGTCACCCTTCCTCATCTCCAACAAACAAAAGTTCTTGATTAAAACAATATGTTAATGTGGCAAATTAAGCATGTCTTTGGACTTATATGCAAAAGCCGATGGGGAGGGGGGTTAGAAACCAGTTGAGAGAATATTTTCTTTTAAATTCCATGCTTTGCCACCATTTCTCATGGACTGCATTTTCAAAAGCATTGGTGCATTTTTGGAAACGTCCAACTTGCACGTTCTTTGATGTCTTTCTGCTCAGCTTACCATGCATGTAAAAGGAGCCCGTTTACATGCATGCATTGGGGGCAGACTGTGCCAGATTTGGACGCATACAGTATTGTAACACCCCCTCCAAAAAAAGGGTAGTTTTGCTTTTGTGTGCTTTCTAAATGGTGATCTGACCAACGTAGCTCCCCTGGTGTGCATGGTGTCCAGTTGCAAGCTTCATTCTGTGCTTAGTGGGCAACACGTCTCGGTCTCCCAAAGGGTTCCGTTCAGCAGAACGCATCAATGGCTTTGTGGTTCTCAACAATTGTTCCATTGAGCATGTTCTTCGTGATACGGCATGTGACTTCTCAGCAGCACTGCCTGCATCCCACCTTCCAGAGGAAATATCTGCAAAAAGTGGCTGTGGCTGCTGGAGAAAAGGGGAGGGCAGGGTTTGCACGTGAAATAACCAGTTTAGAAGGTGGGGTCCAGAGAGGATGTACATGAGCTTCTGTTCCTTTGGAAAGTGCCTTTCTGGAAAGGCTGCTTCCTGACTGTCCTCACGCTCCTGTGCCGCTCCTCCACCAAAGGAGGTCCATCGATGGATCCCAGCTAATTTGGACCAACCTAGCAGCTTTCTTCAAAGAACGGATGGGGACAATCCCCAAGTCTCTGTCTTTAGGCCCCTGATATGGAGGCATAAGCAAGCACTAGGTGGGATTTCAAAATGCTGCTGCTTTTCCTCGCATCCTTTGTTGATCTCCCAGACCTTGCTGCAAGTTGCAAGCACTGTGTCTTTCCTAACCTCTCCAACACTTCTGTGCCATTATCGGTGCATGCTTGCCCATGCACATTTGAAATGATGCTGAATTGCTTCTCCCTGCCCATTTCTACACACACTTCCATACCCTTATGCATCTAGAACAGCCCTCCACAATGTAGTCCGAATGTACGCAGCCAACTGAATGGGGTGGTAGAGTCCTGCAATGGTAGAATGAGCTCTACCGCTTCAACCTGTAAACAAAAGTTATCTTCGCTTCACCCGATTGGGAGAAAAGATAGATAGGAAGGTGCCTTATATCAGTCATGTTGTTTTTCATGGCATTTGCCATTTTGTTTGGTGGCAGCTGAGAGGAATTCAGGCACGGAGCATTTCTTTCTGCTCGTTTCCTTTTGGCAGGGATCTTCCCAGTGTTTCTGGTTTTCCTTTAACTGGAAATTTGAAGGATAAAACCTGGGAGCTTTTGCAGAAAATGTCTGTGCTCTGTCGTTGAGCAATGGCTCTTGGTCAACTCAATTGATCTGCTACCTCAAGATTTTTCTCTTATTTCATTAGGCAGACTTGTAAAAACCTCTTATAGAAGAGTAAGGTGGTATTGTCTGCTCTACTACTTTGGATCTCTACCATCTGATTCCATTGAATGTGTCGATAAGAATGTACAACCTTGGCAAATTTAAGGCCTGTGGACTTCCAACTCCCAGAATTCCACAGCTAGCCAATTCCTAGAATCCTGGGAATTGAAGTCCACAAGTCTTAAATGTTGCCAAGATTGGACAGCCCCACTATAGATACAGCCCAAAAGGTAGGCTTAGACATTTGACACATCTGCCCTCTTTTTCATCCCAATTGTGTGGTTCTACAAAGCTTGAAGGGGCCATCAGTGAAAGGATGGCATTGGGTGTTCCGCATCCCATTTGAACAGAAAGTTTATCTTTCCTTTAGCCATATCCCAGATCTGGAGATTATGTGTCAGATAAGCTACCAAATCCTTAAAAACAACTAAACCATTAATCTAACGATCGAGTGAATTCAATTGGTGTAAGATGACATTATGATGGTGACTTAAATGTTAATTACAGCTGGTAACTAGAACAGCCAAGAACCAATTTGATTCTGAAGTACAAAGTCAGTCAGGAAATCTCCTTTCATTTTGGGAGCATCTCTTTCCAAGAGTCATTATCATAAAATCCAGTGAGCAAGAGATAAGTCTGCCCACTGAAAATGCAAAAAAAAAAAAAAACAGCTGCCACACCACTGAATTGTTCATATGGTCTTTTTATTTTTTTGGTCTTGTTTTCAACTGTAACAAAATGATATTTCTCTGTCTCACTAGGATGTTCTATGTATGTGTCCTGTTCCCTTTTCAAAACCCCTTTTTGAATTTCTGTGCAATTCTCTCCAGTAGCAATCTGTCTGGTATTTCAGGAAAAAAGGGAATTTATTCATAATTTCATTTCCTGTTGCTTATTGTTTCTGTGCATGCTGCTGCATTTTCATAGCCCCCCCCCCCCGTTTATACGGTCCCATTCTTTTGAAGGTTTTGTTTTTATTTATTGTTTACCTTCATATGTTCTTTTTCCTGTCTTCTGCACCTTCCTCTTTATTTCTGTCCCCAATCATCTGAAAGTTTGCTAAAGAGTGGGTAAGTGTGTCCTTACGTTTTGTTTTCTTTTCTTCCAAGTTCCTGTTGTAGAATGTGACTGTTCCATTGAGAAAAAAAAATTAAGCAAACACTGAGCAGCTCAAACTAGCAAAGGAACTTTAGTCAATGCTAAGGGACCAAGGTCTGACACATCTAATTGCCCCTCACACTCCTTTGTTCCCTAAGGCACAATTCAGTATTTACCTCAGATCTGTCTATTCCAATGCTTTTTTGTTTTGTTTTGATTTCTTTTCTTTTCTTTTCTTTTTCTTTTTGTATTTTAGATTTCTTTTTGCTTGTATATTAACATTTTAAAATAACATTAGCACAAACAAGTGGCAATAAATACAGTGACTAAGATCAGCACTTTCAATGTTTTATTTAATGTGGGGGAGAGGCGATGTGGAAAAAAAATAATCGTATATTAAATATTTTGTCTGTTCTTGGCAAAAACAAAAGAATAGTGTTTGTTTAGTCACCCAAAGACTTCATTTATTTAAAAAAAAAATTCGAAGAAAAAGGAAGTGTGTTTATTACAAATTAGCTGAAAATGTTCTTATCTTCCTTGAAAACAACTCAGAATAAAGTAAGTTTGATCTGGTCAGTATTTGGGTGGAGGAACCGAGTTGGGGGAGGAACTCTGTGTAGAAAGTGACGTGGATGTTTGTTGGTGTCAATCTTTTCTATGAGTTGGCATTGACCGAAGGCCCCAGCATGACCTAACTGGAGGGGTCCCAGTAGTGCACTTGTCATCTTTTGCATGACTCAGAACACCCATGTTTCAATCATTGTTACACTTGAACATAAAGGCCCCAATTCGCTTGAGTGCTTAACTAGCACATGAATTGGAACGCTACGTACTTATCTAATTTCTTTTCCTAAGGTGGATTCTAAAACTGAAATTCTGCTTCCGGTCGTTCATACTCAATGGCTCCACATAACTGAAGCTTCTCTGCTTCAATGTCACTCATCTATAGGTTTCCTCTGACTGACTGACAACAGCTTTGCTCTGCGCCCCAAAACAACTGCCGTTGTGCGAGCCAGTGTTGAGCTGTATTTCAAGTTGTCATTTCAGACTTAAAGAACGAGCATCTTAACCGTAAACTGTAAACAACAGATGTAATGTGCTCTTTTACCGCTGTCGCTCTCTTATTTTCATGATTTACGTACAGCAAAGAGATGCTAGACGTTTATCCTGCATGCATTTGATTCTCCTTAATGTTGGCTCAGCTGCATGCACGGGGTCAAAATTAGGATTTGACCAACATTCACAAATTCCTGTCAGAGGCTCCTTAGTCAAAGGCATTGTGTATATGTTAATTCATTACTGGCCACTACATTAGAACACATGTTAATCAACATTCAAGTATCATAGTCAATATCTACAGTAAAAGTAAATATCTGTGTGTATTACAATTGATTTACACTAATAATATTTTACTTCCATTCTTCTTCCATCCATAGCACCAGTACCATTCAAAAATAGATGAACTAATTGAAGAAACTGTCAAAGAAATGATCACACTCCTTGTAGCCAAGGTAACGTTCAACCTCAGATGGATTCATGGTTAATATTATCCTTTAAAGGGAATACACACATTGCCATACAAATGTGACACATTAAGACAATTAGGTGATTTGTTGTTTGTCATGAAATAAATCTAACGCCACTTAGACTTGGTACATTGGATATCTCATGATTGTAGATATTTTACAATTCTGGAAGAAGTTTTATTTGAGATTTTTTTCCCCCAAATACTCTAGTTCTTGAGACAGTGTTGCTGACTTTATTCACATTTATTTTCAGTATTTTTATACTTGCATTCTATAGTCGTGAAATCTGTTTTAAAAAACTCTTTTTTAGGAAAAGTATTTGCTTAGTTTTTGCTTAGGGAAGTTTGCTTTCCTTATTACTTTCTTTAAGTGAGATTGGGGGGGAATCCCTTCCCATAAGAAGACATTTGTTAATCTTAGAGTTAATTTTAGACGGATTCAATCATCCAGAAAAATCAATAGAAATTGTGAGCCATAGAGAGTCATATATTTGAAAAGNTCCTTTCCAACTCCCTTATTCTGTTCTGTTGTTGGAAAAGAAGGTCCAAGATCTTTCCTGACAGCCTTTCTCTGTCTTTCAGGTCCTGGGCAACCAGATCCACATGTACGTGACGTCAGAAGAATACGGTGCCTCCATTTCCAATTTGTCGATGTACGAGTCGGTGTCCTCCGACATCCTGCAGCGCTGGGTCTATCCCATCACCCCAGAAATGAACTTCATCAACGAGAAGCCGAGCTGCACTCACTCCCGGCACAATATCTACCGGGGGGCAGAAGTGAGCCTGGGCCACGAGAGTGTGCTGGAAGAGAATGTTCTCATTGGGCAAAGAACATCCGTGGGCACGAAATGCTGCATCACCAACAGCGTCATTGGGCCCAATTGCAAAATAGGTACGTCGCAATGCCCACAAAATAGGACCATGTTTGGGGGCCTGAGGAGTCCTGGTGTCGAACTCCGGGTGCAGAAAACATGACGGGAAGAAGTCTTAATACAGATAGTCCTTGACTTACGACCACGACTTACGACCACGACTTACGACCCCAAATTTCTGTGGTTAAACAAAGCATTTGTTGAGGGAGTTCTGCCCCATGTTACGACCTCATTTGACTCAGTCATTAAGTGAATCCTTGCAGTTGTTAAGTTAGTCACCCAGTTGTTCAGTGAATCTGGCTTCCTTGATGATATTGCTTGGCACAAGGTCGCAAAAGCGGATCACCTGACACCGCGAGACTGCGACCGTCATAAATATGAACCAAGTTGCCGAGCGGCTGGATTTTGATCCATGTGACCACATGGAGGCTGCAACGGCTGTAAGTGTGTGAAACGGTCACACTTTTTTCCCCAGTGTGCCGTTGTAATTTTGAGTGGTCGCTAAATGAAGCGTTGTAAGTCGAGGACAACCTGTAATTGTTGAACCCCAGAGGGGAGGTGATGTAAAATATGAGGGCTGGATCAAACGACTGTCCCCCAAGCGGGAGATTTGGTGCAGTTGCTAATTTACTGGAGGGGAATTTGCAGCTAACTGACTTTCAGAGGCAAAAATCACACAGGGAGAGAATGTTGAGTGGCTTGCTGTGGTCTCGACCAGGGGTCTCCAACCTTTCGGACCTCAGGGACCACTAAATTCATCATTTTAAATCCCGCGGACCACTAATATGATCTGCCTAATGACCGGCTGGGTGGGCGTGGCTAGGTGGGCATGTGACTGGGTGGGCGTCTCTCCAGCCTCTACTTGCCCCTCCCCTGCCAGCGACTCCTCTCCACCCCGCCCGGGCTCCTTAATTGCTGGAGTTGAGCAGCCAGCAAGAGAAAGAGTTGGCAAAACAGCTCAGTTCCAATTGGATCAGACTGAGAAGGAGGCTCAGCAGAAGCAATAGCAATAGCAGTTAGACTTATATACCGCTTCATAGGGCTTTCAGCCCTCTCTAAGCGATTTACAGAGTCAGC